TCAACTGGACGACCAGAGCGTTTTTCATCTTTGAGTGAAAAATCACCAGAACGAAATTTGGCAAACCAATTTTGACACTGCCGTTCTTTTAAGGCTTCGTCACCATAAATAGCACATAACTTTTTATGAGCTTGCAATGCGTTTTTCCCTTGTGGAAATAAAAAAGCAAAATATGACGAAAATGTTCCTTTTGATTTTCCATTTTTCAACGAACGCCAAACGAAAACTACAAAACAGATCAAAAAACTTTTTTCACTGATTAACAGCTGAATAGCCAACTACCAAATAACAAAATGTGTTTTACATTTGTACTACGTCTGCAAACCTAAAAATTCAACTGAAGCCATATGTGTGTGAAACCCGCAATTACTTAGCTGCCGACCCAATATTTTAATATTGATTTCAGAGAGGAAGGGAGAGAGATAGAAACATCAATGAGAGAGAATCATTTATCCATTGCCTCCTGCACACCACCCTACTGAGGACTGAGCCTACAACTCAGGCATGTGCCTTGATTGGGAATTGAATCCTGATCTCTTGCTTTACAGGTCGATGCTCAATCACTGAGCCACCACTTCTGGGCCTCAGAAGTTTTATTAGAGCGTGCTATCATAGCATTTCTCTGAGAAACACATTTTCATTCATGGTAGTATGAAATTATGCAGTAGCAGGCCATATATATATATATATATATATATATATATATATATATATACATACATACACACACACACACACACACACATTCCTTTTTAAGGACAATTTTTTTTGAAATGACATTACATGCCTTTTAAATAAAGAGCAGTCTTTAAGAAGTGAATTTGAACCTTAAACTTTGAAGAATCCTTAATTTTAAAACAATGGTTAGCTCTTTAATTCTTCTGAAATGTAATGATGTGCATTGAATGAGGGACAGAATTTAGTTTTTTCCAGATGGAAAGTTCATTGTCCACAAACTACTGAAGAACTTGTTATTTATACCATTAAAATAAATTTTATTGTATATAGTAAAAAAAAAAAAAAATCCATGTAATCATGGTTGTTTCTGAATTTCTATCAATATTTGTCTATCTATCTCTGTGTCAGTATCATGATGCTTTGGTTACTGTGGCCTTATAGGCATTTGCTATCTGGCAGGGCAAGTCCCCTACTAGTGCTTCTTTTTTTTTTTTTTTTTCCTCTAACATTTATTGGCAGTGCTCATGTGTTTAGTCTTCTAGAATAATTTTAGAATCAACTTGTCAAGTTCCAAAATCTTCCTATTAGAATTTTAAAAAAATATATATTTTATTGATTTTTTTTACAGAGAGGAAGGGAGAGAAATAGCTAGAAACGTCGATGAGAGAGAAACATCGACCAGCTGCCTCTTGCACACCCCCTACCGGGGATGTGCCCACAACCAACATACATGCCCTTGACCAGAATCGAACCTGGGACCCTTCAGTCTGCAGACCGACGCTCTACCGCTGAGCCAAACCGGTTTCGGCTCCTATTAGAATTTTGATGAAGATTGCATTAAATTGAGATCATTATAATATTGAAATGGAATAATCTCATCGAACATGTTATCTTTTCATTTACGTAGATCATTTCTAATGTTCTTAAAGTTTTCTGGTTGTCTTCACATAGATCTGGCATACATCTTAAAATGTTCTAGGTATATACTTTATTTTTTTCTGTAATGGTGAATGAGATAATTATTTTTCTTTCGGAATTTAATTTTTTGAAAAGACTTTGTTTTAGTAAAGGTTCATATGGCAGCAATTTAGAGCAATACATTCGAACTTAGGCAGAAAAAGTAAAGGGAGAATTCTTTGGAAGGAGGCCAAGCCCTGCAGGCCAAGGGCAGAAAGAGGAGTGGGCCTCAGAAGGGGGCTGGAAAAAAACACAAAAAACCTGCTTAGTCTCCTGTTGCTGCTTCTCTCAGTAGATCTGTTTTTCTCTCCCTCTGTAGTTCAACTTTCCTTGCTGCTTTTTGTCCCACTTCCAACTTTTCTGGGAAGCAAGAAGGTGTAGAACAAATCTGGCTACAGGGGTTACCCATATGAATGGAGCAATTCTCAGAAAACTCTGTGGGCTGGGGAAGCACTGCTGAAACAGATTTCAGAACACTGAAATGTCAGGAACTTCAAAAGGTTCTTTCTCTCCTTTCCTAAGGGGGTTAGAGCTAGCAGTTACAGTATGGGAAAACTTTTCCTCTCTACATCCAGGTGACTTGATAAACAGGCTGACAGTCATCATGGTTATAGGCTTAACAATGCAACAAAAATAAACTTTATATTTTACTGCTTTGCTGTTCACAAGGTGCTTTCCCTTTAACCACTCTTTAGGCTTTTGGCTCAGATCACACACTGTATGCCATAAACATTAAATTGTGTGGTTTAGGAGCATAGATTACCATGTCAAATATTTTGTCTTTAGAAAATAGCGTGCTCCAAATTTTGCAACTTGGTATAAAGATGATTATGAACCTACTAGGAGCCCCGGGCACAAATTTGTGCACCTTAAAGGAACTGTGGGCCGGGAGGCCGCAGTGGGCACAGGGGCAGGTTTTGGCCCATCCTCTGAACCCCTGCAGGCCCCTTCCACCATGGTCCCCAGTCCCTTGTCTGCTGGTAGCCCCACTTCTGCCACCATTGCTCCCATGTGCTGAGGGGCGCCCTGCTTGCACTTGCTGACAGCCATGGAGCGATTTGGGCCAGTGCCAGCAGTGGGTGTGAGCAGGGCTGGTGGCCCAGTTAGCGGGTGCAAGTGGTGGCTCTCGCACCAGCAGCAAGTGTGAGCACGGGGCAGAACTGACGCGTGCTTGGGAGCAAAGAGTTTTCAGTAACTACTAGAGGATCGCCCTGATGACAGCAACCACCTTGGTCTGACGCCCCTTCTCACCTGCTCCACCATCCCACCATGGCAGACGCCTGCCATGCTCTGTGCGAGCCCCCTGGTGGTCAGTGCATGTCATAGTGACCGGTTGTTTGGTTGTTCTGCAGTTCGATTTATTTGCATATTAGCCTTTTATTATATAGGATTCTTATTCTCAACTAGCTTACAATTCATTTTGAAAATGAATCAGAAAAGGGGAACTTCATTAAAAAACACACAAAACACACCAAACAACCCAAAACAAAAACGAAACAAATCCTCCCTGAAAACCAGAAATTCTCTTAAGACTTTTCTTTTTTAAACTTAATTCAGTTAGGTGGTATTTGACTGGGAGCTATAATGGGTTCAGTCAGTTACTAATTGAATGACCTTCGCTAGCAACCCAGCCTGTGTGAACCAGTTTTTCAAATCTGGTGAGGCATCTAGACCTCAGTTGTATTTCAGCTCCGGATCCAGAAAAGCAGCAAAATCAGGTGGGGGACCCCAGGTCCAGCAGCAGCAACTAATGACCCCCTGCCCTGGCCCTGACCAATCCATAGAGATCATGACCCTGAAAGGACATACGTGCTAAACTGATGAATAGTCTGCTGAAAACTTCCTCTGAAACCTCTTCTACCGTGTTTCCCCGAAAATAAGACATCCTCCGAAAATAAGACCTACTTACAGGTTTCCTTCTGAGTGAAATATAAGGCATCCCCCCCCCCCCCCGAAAATAAGTTCCCCCCCCAGGCTAAACATGAGAGATTTGGTCCACTGATTCTGAAAGAAATGGGCTCACAAGAAATTCACCAGGAAATTCAGTAATTGGATTGTTATGATGATGTTCCAGAAGATGATGACATGATTGTCATTGAATAAATGAGTAAATTCTTGATACTGTAGGACTCACAGTTTGTCTGGTTTGTGTTGACAACCACCGTACTACCGTACCGTATACAGGTAATAAATTTCCTTTATTTTCATTCAACAATAAATGTGTACCGTATTCTTCTTCATGGAAAAATAAAACATCCCCTGAAAATAAGACCTAGCGCATCTTTGAGAGCAAAAATTAATATAAGACACTGTCTTATTTTCAGGGAAACAGGGTAAGAGTCCCCCAAGCAAGAGAGAGATAAAAGCCTCAAGATTAAGGACCCAGGGTGCAGTCTCCCTCCTAGAAGCACAGCTGGCTCATTTCCCTTTTCCCTTCTTTTGCCCCCCCAAAACATGCATCTCTTAAACCCTGAGGGACCCCAGGAGACTTGCAACCAGGGGGCAATGGACAACTCCCTGGCTAACTCCCTGAACCCGTCCCAAGGCCCCTTTTCTCTGACTTCTTAGTGAGCCAAAGCAGCCCAGCCTAGGCTCATTTTTCCGCCTAGTTCCTCTCCTGTTGCTTCTCCTATCCTAGGCTCTTTCTTGTTTCACTGCTCCCAACTTTAATAATTTAAAAATCACCAGGACTCATACTGTGAGATCTTTCCTGCAGTAAATCAGGAACCCGCACACCACCTGCAACACTAGGCAGATGCGCTCAGGGCCGGGTCCCCTTTTCCCTAACACGTCAAGCATGGTCCACGTGCCGCTAATTTGTTATAATTTTCAGATGAGGTGAAGCACCATAAAAACAAAGGACGGGATGCAAGTAGAACATTACCAATCACTAATGTGAGCCTGATATTGCTGAAGGAAAAAAACACAAAAACACCAGAGTTTGGAGGGGGATTTAGGAAAAAGTGCCAAAGGAACCCCAGAAGTGGCACCTCCGCCAACCCCAGCTCTTTCTTTTTCTTTCTTTTTTTAATTGTCTAAGGTTTTACATGTCTCCTTTTAACCCCAGCTCTTTCCCTTGCTGTGGAAGACACGCTCTCCTTTCATTGCAATTCGCTTTGGAGGAGTCTTTTCCTAACAGCAAATTCCATTTCTCGCAACTTTGCTTCCCCTTCCAGTTTGCAAACAGCCGGTCGGGTTTTCCTCGCTGGCTCGGAGGCCCAGCGGCCGCCCCAGGCGGTGAGGAGCCCACCGCGGGGCGGAGATACTGGGGGCCCAGCTCTGGGACACGGTCCGGGCACAGGCAGCTCCGCCCCAAGGCCAGCCTCCGCCTGCAGCAGCGAGCACGCCCCCACCCGACACTTGTGCACGACGTAGGGCGTGCTTTCCGGCAGCGGAGGCGTGCTTTCCGATTCTCCCTCCATCGGGCTTTTTTTTTTCCGGGGTGGTACTTCCCGTCTCTCCGCGCAGGGCGCCGGGCTGCAGAGCCGGGGAGCGGATCGCCTGGCGGGGTGAGTCTGGCTGGCCAGGCCTCGTCCTCCTCAGGGAGGGGGCTCTTAGCCTCTTTCTTGCTTTATTTCTCCGCGCGAGGCCCCGGTTTGCAAGGACATCCTGGCCTTTGGGAAGTACCACCCACCTGAGGCTCTTTCGCTTCCTCTTTCTACAGGCTCCGCCCCCAGCGTCCCGTGGCCATGACAACGGCCCCGCGGGACTCCTTATTGTGGAAGCTCGCGGGGCTGCTGCGGGAATCAGGTGAGGGGACTTCCGGGTGAGCTGGAGCTGGAGCTGGGGCAAGGTCGGGTGCATGCTGACTTCCAGAGCCACTCCCCCTGAAGAGTCAGGAGTTGTTACAGCTGTTTAGAGTCACGAGGGTGTGTGTGTGTCACTTTCTTTACGCCTTCAGGTTTGGTCGCTGTTGCCTAGTGTCCTTTGTCTTTGACAGTTTAAACCTTAACCATCCTTCCCAGCCAAGCTTCACTGCCACTTCCTCCATGCGCCCTCCGATACTCTCACAGGAAGGCGATCCTTACTTGGCTGTAAGCCCCTCGAGACCAGAGACTGGGCCTAATCACTGTTGTGTGGCGGGGACCTAAGTATAGCATCGTTAAAAGCTCGAGATTGGAAGTCAGACCCACGTGATTTGGAATCCCAACTCTCTTTCATTCTCGGCTTTATTGTGTTAAGTGTTTTTAGCCTGTTTTTCTCACCAGCAGAATGGCATAATGATTGTATTTAAAGGTGGTTGTGGGATTAATTCTAATTCACATGAAGCCTTTAGTACAGTGTTTGAGTATATTGTAAGTGCTCAAAATTGGTAGCTGTTATTATAATAGCACTTCTCAGTGCCTGGACACAGTGGAGCCATAATAGTTGTTCAGCACATTAGTTGAGGTTAGAACAGTGTTGGCTTTGAGATCACACAGAAGTAGCAGCTTCCTACCAGCGATATGATATCAAGTCTTAACTTTTCTGAGCCCTCATTTCTTTATTTGTAAGGGGAGGACGTTAATAGTGTTCTTTAGGAGATTTTTGGTGAAGTTTAAATGAAGTAACAGAGTTGTCTGGCACATATTACTCAATTAATGGTAGGTGCCTTCCACCACTGCACTCCCATTAATGGTCTCTGTGAAATCTCTCTTTGTAGCAGTTAGAACAGGCTTGTGTAATTAACTGTGCACATATCTAATCTGCTCTTCTAGACTGGGAGGCTCTTTGAGGGTGGGAAGAGTCCTTGAACCATATCTGTCTCTAGTGTCTGGGACATAGAAAATCTTTCATGCAAGGTTATGGGATTTGTTCATTTATTCAGCAAAAGTCTGACTTGGCTCCAAGGGTTAGGGATGATAGGTAGTAGGAGGGAGATCTTTGTGGTAATGGAATAGTTTGGTATCTTCATTGTGATGTTGGCTTTAGGAATCTACACATATGACATGACACAGGACTATAAGTATACCTTGTACCAAGGCCAATTTTTCTGGTTTTGATAATGTACTATATATGAATGTAACCATTGGGGAAACTGGGTGAAGGGTTTTAGAGGGACTTATTTACTTATTTGTACTATTGCTAGGACATCCTTTGACTGTATCCTTATATTTTTTAAAAAGGTAAAAAAAAAAAAAAAAATTCTCCATGCCTACCATATAGTTGCACTTTTTTAGGTACATGGGGCGAAGACCAAAAGATTCCCTGAAGGGTGACAGTCTCATTGGAGAGAATAGTTTTACCAGAGAGAGCAGTACCTTGGTGCTGGCATGAGTGGTTATTCTTTCTGTGTCATGCATTTTAGTACTGTTTGAGAGTTTCGGTAAGTGTGCATATTACTTTTGCAATCAGAAAAGAAAAAAAAAAAAGATAAAACACCCTGTTAGTTTTTACATAAAAAGCGAGTATAGTGAAAAGTTGAACAGTATTATGTATTGAGAAAACTGCCTCGGGGTGTCAAGCTGGAAGGGTTTTGTCAGAAAATGAACCAGGTTGACTCTGTCTCCAGCAGTGTGAGTAGAGCAGGCTCTTTTGAGCAGAAGGGAAAAGGAAATTTAGAAAAGTCAGAGGCATGTAATGAAGCGATCTCACATGTCAGGCAGAAGAGTTAGGGTTTTGTTTTTTTTAAGATAGAGGAGCCTTTGAGGATTTTTAAGTGAGAAGAAGATAAAAAGTCTGATCCTACAGTATAGACTGGAGTGGGTGTGTCTGAGGGTGGCCACAAAGTCTCAGAATAAAGGGAAAGACCCTTTCCTTATGTCCTCCTTCCTGTCTGCCCCTCTCCCTGCAGGGGATGTGGTCCTGTCTGGCTGCAGCACACTGAGCCTGCTGACTGCCACACTGCAGCAACTGAGCCACGTATTTGAGCTGTACCTGGGGCCATGGGGCCCTGGCCAGACAGGCTTTGTGGCTCTGCCCTCCCACCCCACCGACTCCCCTGTCATCCTCCAGCTTCAGTTCCTCTTCGATGTGCTGCAGAAAACGCTTTCACTCAAGGTTCTGGGATGGGGACGGGGCAGGATATACGAAAAGCCCGGGAGAATAGTGGAGGTGGGACTGGGGTGTATTATACATGGGTGCAAGAAAACTGCCGGGCTCAGATCCAAAAGGTGTGAGAGCTATGGGTGGCTGGGCTAAGAAAGACGTGCCAAGGAAAGGGAGACGTGCCCAACCTCACTGACCTGAATGTTTTTCCTTTTAGCTGGTCCATGTCCCTGGTCCTGGCCTCCCAGGGCCCATCAAGATTTTTCCCTTCAAGTCCCTTCGGCAGCTGGAGGTATGGAGCGTTGGGGGATATTGCAACACTGTAAACCCAGCTTGGGGCAGTCATTTGAGGATAGGAAAGAGAGGTGGCTTCTTTTGGTGGAGGAGGGGCAGGCCTGAGACTGCCTGTTGCTCTGCCGCAATGTGGCATCTACTCTCTTTACCACTTAATGCTTCCCTGAACCATAGTTGGCTTTGTCATCTTTTCCCTTCTTCTCTTCACTTGCTGTAGCTCCGAGGTGTCCCTGTCCACTGCCTTCATGGCCTCCGTGGCATCTATTCCCAGCTGGAGACCCTGATTTGCACCAGGAGCATCCAGACATTAGAGGTAAGGAGGATGGGGGTGGGTCCAGATACAGGACCAAACTCTGACATTCCCCCTTCTCTGCAGCCTTCCCTGCTCTTGCCTCCCACTTCCCTCTGGACAGTGTACTTCCTCCCTCCACTGTGCTCCCACAACACTCTGTACCTGTCCATATATTCATAGTCACACCTACCATATTGTATTATATATTCTCCTCTCTGTCACCTTACTCTCCCCACAGTGGATGCCTTGAGGATAGGGCCCTGGGCTCTCTTTCAGTCTGTACTCAGTCTGAACTCAGCATATAAGGAATGAATGAATGGCTGGGCCATAAAGTGAGGCCTTGGTGTGGGGAGGAGAGAATGGAGGTGACTGAGCACCTTGTCTCAGGAGCTCCTCTCAGCCTGCGGTGGCGACCTCTGCTCTGCCCTGCCCTGGCTGGCTCTGCTTTCCGCCAACTTCAGTTACAATGCACTGACTGCGTTAGACAGCTCCCTGGTGAGTGCCTCAGAGGGAAGGGGGCTTGGGGAAGGACAGGGATGGGTGTTTAGGGAGAGGGGCCAGCTGGCTGCCTGGAGGTGTCCGATCCTCTGTTTCCTCTTCCCATCCTCCTCAGCGACTCTTGTCAGCTCTGCGCTTCTTGAACCTGAGCCACAATCAACTCCAGGGCTGCAAGGACTTCCTGATGGTGAGTGTGAGCAGTTTGTCTGGAACTGATGCCCCCGGGGCCTCTAACCGTTCTGCTCTGACCTCTCCTGGACCCAGTTTTTTCCCACGTGCCCTTGCCTGTTGGATGGAGCTGTGTCCTGTGAGGCAGTGTTGTGTGGGGACTCAGGCTCAGCATAAGACAAACCAGTATTCAAATCTCAGCTCCTAATCCCTGTGTGACTTGGGACAAATTAGTTAACATCTCAGTTTTTCTTCACCAGAAAAGTAGAAACAATAGGAGTGGAAACTTTTTTGTTTGGCTTTTTTTTCTTTAATCCTCACCCGAGGATATATATATTTTTTAAAAATATATTTTATTGATTTTGTGCAGAGAGGAAGGGAGAGAGATAGAGAGTTAGAAACATCGATGAGAGAGAGTCATCGATCAGCTGCCTCTTGCACACTCCCTACTGGGGATATGCCCGCAACCAAGGTACATGCCCTTGACCGGAATCGAACCCAGGTCCCTTCAGTCCCCAAGCCGACGCTCTATCCATTGAGCCAAACCGGTTTCGGCACCCGAGGATATTTTTTCCATTGGTTAATTTTTAGAGTGGAAGGGAGGGAATGAGGGGAAGAGATACATTGATGTGAGAGAAACATTGATTGGTTGCCTTCCACATTCTATTGGATGATTTCGGCATGCGCTGTGACTGGGGAGGGTATTGAAACTGCAACCCAGGTATATGCCCTTTGGTGTGCAGGCTGGTGCTCTAACCACTGAGCACAATGACCGGGGCCGGAGTACTCACTTTTATATTAGAATGATTATGAAGAGTATCTGATGCTACTTAGCTCAGTGCCTCGCCCATAAAAGGGTGGCTCTTGTGATGACAGTGAAGAACCCTTCTCTCGTGTCTCCCTGTGAAAGAGAAAGCCAGACACAGGTTAAAGTGGTAAGAACAGGTTTTAATAATAATAAACTATTGTAGTAGTTTATTATGTAATAAACTATTATGGTATTTAATCAGTAGTAAAACTCCTAATCAGTAATAAACTCTTCAGCATGAACTGAATTCCAGTTCGGTTTTGCAGAGGTAATTGGACATGTTAAAGTGGGAGTGAGGAGATAGGGAGGGGGCTAGCGGGAGCAGATTCTGTCCTTGGCCAGACTCTAGTCAGGTTCCTCTGAAGTCAGGGAAGTAGAATTTTACAAAAAGCAGGAAGGGGCCCTACCTGGTTTTGCTCAGTGGATAGAACATCAGCCCGGTTTGATTCTGGTCAAGGGCATGTGCCCGTGTTGCAGGCTTGATCCCCAGCTGGGGGCATGCAGGAAGCAGCTGATCGATGATTCTCTGTCATCATTGATGTTTCTACTAGTATCTCTGTCAGTCTCCCTTCCTCTCTGAAATCAATAAAAATATCTTAAAAAAAAAAAAAAAAAAAAAAAAAGGGCAGGAAGGGGACATTGTGAAACCAACCTGTCTGGGATTGTTAACTGGCACTTGCCACAGTTAGGCTTCTAACCCCACGGAAGCTGGGAGACGGGCCCTATCTTTAGGTGTTGGCTGGAACAAACCCAGTTTTCTTGGCAGCCTTGAGTTTTCCCTGGCAGGAATGTAAGGGGGCTGGAGTTGTCATCCTTGGGCTTGAGCTATCAGAAACTAAACTAGTACTTGTTCAAGTCTAACGTGGGAGGGAGGATGGGTAGATGAAATCATTTGTGCTGAGAGTCTGCAGTTTTCGCAGGCCAAGGGTAAGGCCTAGTGGAGAAGAGGGCTTAGAGGAGCCTAAGAGTTTGGTCAAGGAGAAGATCTTTGTCACCCGGCTTCCTCCCAGGACTTGTCTGAGCTCTACCACCTGGACATCTCCTATAACCACCTGTGTTTGGTGCCGAGAATAGGACCCTCAGGAGCTACTCTGGGGACCCTGATACTGCGAGGCAATGAGCTCCGGGGCCTGCACGGTGAGTGGGGGAGTGCAGTGGTGGTAGGCAGGGAGTAAGGGAGGGTGGGGCAAACATGGAGGGACTGGGGCAGGGTGAGACTCAGGATGGCCAGACAGCCAGGGAACCGGGTGCCTTCAGAGCTGAGGCACGCTCACCGGCAGGTCTGAGGTGCCCAGGGTTATCTTTTCCCTGCACCCTCCCCAGCCTACCCCCACCCCCTCCACACTTGCTCTCACTCACATGCCCTTCCTCTTTTCTCGCCTCCGCCCCAGGCCTGGAGCAGCTGAAGAAGCTGCGGCACCTCGATGTGGCTTACAACCTGTTGGAAGAACACAGGGCACTGGCACCGCTGTGCCTGCTGGCCGAGCTCCGCAAGGTGAGGCTCGGAAGCCAGCTGTGCACCCCTCCCTCCTTCCGGTGCTGATGTGGTCAGTGCCCTTCCTCCCACGGGGAAGCTCAAACCACCTCTGTCTCCTTCCTGTCCCTCAGCTCTACCTGGAGGGAAACCCTTTGTGGTTCCACCCTGCACACCGAGCGGCCACCGCCCAGTACCTGTCACCCCGGGCCAGGGGTGCTGCTTCTGGCGTGAGTGATTTTCCCATATCCGCTCCCTTTCCCTTTCCTGCCCTGGCCGCCCTCACCCCTGCACCTCTTGCCACTTCTCACCCCCTCTCTGGGCCCCTTGCTTATTCTTTTTTTTTTTTTTTTTTTTTAAATATATTTTTATTGATTTTACACAGAGAGGAATTGAGAGGGACAGAGAGTTAGAAACATTGATGAGAGAGAATCATCGATCAGCTGCCTCCTGCACACTCCCCACTGGGGATGTGCCCGCAACCAAGGTACATGCCCTTGACCGGAATCGAACCTGGGACCTTTCAGTCCGCAGGCCGACGCTCTATCCACTGAGCCAAACCGGTCCCGGCTTATTCTTGCTTATTATGCTGGTACCACCTGCTGAGCCTGGTGGTCCTCACAGGCCTAGGAGGGCTTCCACCCTGGCTTGGAGCTACCCCAGGGAATGAGCCCCTCACCAACACTGCCCCCTCCTCTTCTCTTTGCTCAGTTCCTTCTTGATGGGAAGGTCCTATTACTGACTGATTTTCAGGTGAGTGTGATGGGGAGTGGCGGGAGTGGGACAGCAGGGGCTGATTTGGGAGGACCCTCGCTGAAGGAAACAGGGTTTCGGGGTAAGGGGCTTCCCGGGCGGCTGGAGACGGGTCCCGCCTCTCGGCAAGCTTGGATGGGACAGAGGTTCCTCTGGCTCTGACCTCTTTCTCTTTCCTGTTGTCACACGCCAGACCTCCACATCCTCAGAGGCCCCGACTCCGTCCTGGCCGGTGGGGAGTACTACGGAAACCTCAGGGGGTGTTGACTTGAGTGACAGCCTCTCCTCAGGGGGCATTGTGGCCCAGCCCCCGATTCGTAAGTTGAAGGTAACTGTCCTAGGCTGCCTTGGTCTGGGGTTGGGTCCCTGGACTGGGGCTCTGGGTTGCTGATGGGCTGAGAATAGTAAGGCTTTGTCCTTGCGTATGTGGGTAGGGTGCTTTGGGCAGGTTGGGTGGGCGGCCTGGCTTTCACAGAATTTCATCACTCTACCCAAACTCAGGGCCGAGTTCGCGTGAGGCGGGCGAGCATCTCAGAACCCAGTGACACGGACGCAGAGCCCCGGACTCCGGACCCCTCCCCGGCTGGTAAGTCAGCCCTCCCCCCAGCCTCCGGTGTCCCAGCCCAGTGCTCCCCAGGGCTCTGGGTAGGAATTTTGTTTGGTGGAGCGCAGCACTGTGGAGGGCCTCTTAGTCTTTCCTCTTCGTTTGGGGAAAGGAGAAGAGACTGCTCCTGGACAGCACCTTCCGAAGTGTTTCACAGGGAGCATTACTTTCGTGGGCTGTCACAGACATTCGTGGTCAGATACGTTTGGGAGATGCTTGGTTAAACAAATAGGTGTCCTCCCTCTGGGCCATCGTAGGACCTTAAATGTGCCGCTCTGTATTGCGAATCTCCCAAAGTGGTACATGAGGTGTGGCCGTGAACGGCATGCGACCAGGGTGTTTCGCAGAATAGTATGCTTCAGGGCATGTTGCTGCGGGAAGCCTTTAGCCTCTCTGAACCCTCACCACCTCCACCTGTTACATAGACTTTTACTTCACCCTGAGGGGCACTCACAGGATGGCGGTAGGGGCGGGGCTGGCTAAGCTGTGTGCCTTCCCAACCCTCCCCCCTGCCCTGCCCCAATACACACCTGTCCAGGACGGTTTGTGCAGCAGCATCGGGAACTTGAACTCATGAACAGCTTCCGGGAACAGTTTGGCCGGGACTGGCTGCAGTACAGGAATCACCTGGAGACCTCGGGAATGCCCGCTCTGGCTTCCTCTAAGACTCCCGCCCTCAGCACACTGCCCCCGGACACACGGAGCCCCGAGCCTGTGCCCAGTCCTCCACTGCCAGAGGAGTCGCCACAGGAAATGGCAGAGGAGGACAGCGTGGGGCTCGAGCCACAGGCGGAAGAGGAGTTTGAGGAGCCAGGAAAAGAGGAGGAGGAGGAGGAGCAGAAGGAAGTGGAAGGTGAGCTCTTGGTGGCTGCAGGATGGTGTGTTTGGGAGAGGGGGGGCGCTGACCCCTTGTGGATGGGGGGCCAGCTCCCGGGAGGGCAGAGTCTTGGCACCTTTCTGTCCGTACAGGGCCCCTCTCTTGATTTCTCCTCAGCGGAGCTCTGTCGCCCCATGCTGGTATGTCCCCTGGAGGGGCCTCAGGGCGTGCGGGGCCAGGAGCGCTTTCTCCGGGTCACGTCCGGGCACCTGTTTGAGGTGGAACTCCAAGCAGCTCGGACCCTAGAACGGCTCGAGCTCCAGAGTCTGGAGGCAGCTGAAATAGAGCCTGAGCCTGAAGCCCGGGGGGAACCACTGCCCGAGGTGAGTGTGGGGTGGGGGCTCTGGAGGAGGTGCTGGGCTTTTTCTGGGAGCCAGCTCTGACTACATGGCTCTGAGTGCTGGGCACCGGGCTGTGAGTCTGCACCATTGAGCAGGTAGCTGGGGGCCAGAGGCAGCTCCAGGCAGCTTGGGTGGCTGGCCAGGAGCAGAGCTTGTGGGCCAGAGCGCGAAGGTAGCAAAAGCACTTTAATGGAGTCCAGAGCTATTGTTTCCTCTGTGCTCTCCGTGTAACCCTAATCCGTCTACTTTTTTTTTTTAATCTTTTTTTTTTTCTGGTCCCCTCTTTCCTCACAGGGCTCAGAGCTGCCCTCCTTACCCCCTGTCCTCGCTCTTCGCTTCTCTTACATTCGCCCGGACCGGCACTTGCGTCGCTATGTGGTGCTAGAGCCTGACGCCCAAGCCGCCGTCCAGGTGATGGGGCCCAGGAGGCTGGTGGGAGCTTGGAAGCCGAGGGCCGGGGGCCTCCCGCTCACAGCTGTGCCTGGCCGCCCTGTTTCAGGAGCTGCTTGCTGTGTTGACCCCAGCAGCCACCAAGGTTCAGCATCAGCGGGGGGAAGCAAGGGACCAGCTTGGGGGCAGACTCCAGTGTCTCCGCTGTGGCCACGATTTCAAGCCGGGGGATACCAGGTTGGAACCGGACAGTGTGGAGGGCTGGAGGCCTGTGTTCCAAAATGCAGGTATAAGCCCTGCCCTTGACCTCCTGCCCATGCGCCTCCTGCCGTTGTGGGGGAAATGGCTTGGAGGGAGGGAGCGTGGAGGGGCCCCCCAGGGAAGAACCGCGTGGGGACCACTTTCTGCCTGGAGGAAAAATAAAACTGTCTGCCTGCTCCGTTTACAAAAGTAAAAAAAGGAGAAATTGTATCTCCTTCCCCCACCTCCTCTGAATGCCAGGAAATACAATCTCTGTAACTATTTAAACATAGTCATTATTTTTTCATAACCTGGAGGCTTCCCCCCTTTTTTGGCTAACATTTCAGAAACGACATAGAAACTAATGAGCCCTCAGTGCACTGCTGGGTTTTAGTGGTGCCATCCGGGCACGACTGGCTGTTGAGTGAGATGCTTTGGGAGTTGGCTGAGATTGTCCGTCCTGACTGACCTTGGAAGCTGCTAGATACTGAGTTGTGCCTTGTGGCGTCTCTTCGCATTCTGTTCTTTAAGACGAGAACATTTTCCATTGTAGAAGAGTCAAAAAAGCCATGTCTTTGAAGACATTGAAGAAGAAAGATATTCTTGATAACTCCTATGTTGAAACACATGCTTTTTATTACTTTCCTCCTGGCAGCTGCTGGAGCAGGAATTTAAATTTTACTCAGAAAATGGACCCTCTCCAACCTCACTCTGAGCCTATCCAGGAGGCTGCAACCCCTGGAAGCTCAGCAGGGCAGTGTGTGTAGTGGAAATAGCGCTGCCTCCTGGGCCCTGGCTGTCCTCCGTGGGGTCCTGTGGTCCCTGAGGTTTCCTCAGTGGAAGCATTATTAATGAACAGCCCTGTGTGCTCCATTCACTTTTCGCTTGAGCCTCTGGTATTTTGTCCAAACAGAGATGAGAAATTGCCCCAAAGTGCTAGTGGGGGATTTAAGTGTGACAGAAAGGCACCGGGCACAGTGCTGGGCCCTAAACAAAGTCTTGGGAAGGGTGTGTCAGTTGTTTGAAGTCTCTAGCACATGCCAAGCACATTGTAGCTGCTCCAAGATGCTCTTGTTGCAGATCCCTGTCCTGGCTTCTTTACCTGATTGCCTTCACTCATCCTGGTAACCTTATAAGATTGGTTGGCACTGTTGCCCGACCTGTGTGCTCAGTGGTTGAGTGTTGGACCCAGAGGTCACAAGTTTGATTCCTGTCAGGGCACATGCTCGGGTTGTGGGCACAATACCTAGTAGGAGGTGTGCAGAAGGCAGGTGATCCATGTTCCTCTCTCATCGATGTTTCTATCTCCCTCTTCCTTCTCTCTCTAAAAAAAACCACATTGGGCTGAAACCAGTTTGGCTCAGTGGATAGAGCGTCAGCCTGCGGACTGAAGGGTCCCGGGTTCGATTCCGGTCGAGGGCACGTACCTTGGTTGCAGGCACATCCCCAAGTTGGGGGTGTGCAAGAGGCAGCTGATGGATGTTTCTCTCTCATCGATGTTTCTAACCCTCTATTCCTTTCTCTTCTTCTCTGTAAAAAAATCAATAAAATATATTAAAAAAAAAACACCAAAAAAACACATTGGCACTGTCATCATCCCCATCTTACAGATGAGAAACCAGGCACAGAGACCTGAGGAGACTTGTCATATTGCAAAGATCAGTGGTCGGCAAACCGCGACTTGCGAGCTACATGCAGCTCTTTGGCCCCTTGAGTGTGCTAAGGCCACTTCTTCAAAATAGACTTGCCCAGGCTGAAAACTGACTTCTGTACATGGGCCACGAAGTTTCAGTCGCACTGTACATGCGTGCCCACATTTGGTATTTTGTGGAAGAGCCACACTCAAGTGGCCAAAGAGCTGCATGTGGCTCGAGAGCCGCAATTTGCCGACCACTGGCATAGGTGCTAGCCTTTATGTGATGGAGCCTGGAATTGGACCTGTCTTTGGTACCCTGCCTTCCTGGTCCGCTGATTTGCGGCTTTAGATATTGCTGGTAGAACATCGAGGCACACGACCAGCTCAGGCTGTGGGAGGGAACCGGAATTTGGCTGTGGTTGAGTTTGGCTCTTTCTGAGAAGGCCTGAAATGACATGGTGAATTTTGAGGGGCTATGATCCATGGATCTGAGTTTGCTTGTCCCTCACTGGATGAGGAGTGAGTGGTTAGCAGCCAGGCCTGCAGAGGGAGCAGGTGTGCTGGGCGCGGTGGGTAGTGTGTGGTGGTAGTGTATGAAGCTGGATGTGGGCCTAGGTGAGTCTGAGAGTGGGAGGGGAGCATTCTGAGCATGGTGGGGGGTTGTGGTGCTGTGTGGAAGTTCACGGGGACTATACCCATTCCTTCCTCCAGAGTCTCCTACTGTGTGTCCAAACTGTGGTAGTGACCATGTGGTTCTCCTGGCTTTATCCGGGGGTACCCCCAACGGAGAGGAGAGCCAGGAAGAGCAGCTGCCAGCCTCGTCGCAGTCCCCCAGCACAGTCCACGATGACCCTCCTGGTGAAAGTGACGACAGCACCAGGGCTGATAGCACCCCATCTCAGGCACTGGGCTCCCTCGACCGCCACGGGTGGAGCCTCAGTCCCCGTGAGTATCGGCAAAATGAGACGGGGCTGGTGTTTGGGGGAGGGAGGGGCGCTAGTGCGGGAGGGGAGATGGAGCCGCACTGCCGGGGCAGGCTGATGGCCCATTGCATGTTCCCAGCCCCCGAGCGCTGTGGCCTCCGCTCTGTGGACCACCGACTCCGGCTCTTCTTGGATGTTGAGGTGTTCACCGATGCCCAGGAGGAGTTCCAGTGCTGCATCAAGGTCTGTGCCAGCCTGGCACTGCCCCTGCCCTAGCTAAGCAGGGCGTCCGCTCGTTCCATCACAGCCAACCGGGTCTTAAGCTGTTGCTCTGGAACTGCTAGGTCTGGCTTCCCACTTGGCCTCAGCAGCGACTTGCTGTGTGTCTGTGGACTTGGTCCTTGGCGTTTGGGTCTCTGTTGTCACTCCTCTGTAAGGGGAACAATACTTAACCTTTCAGAGTGTGGTAGCAACAGGGAGAGTCAGGTCTGTAAACTGCCCAACCAGCACCTGGCCTCAGCAAGTGGACCTCCTGTCATTGCTGTAAAAACTGGGTGCTTTTGGACTCTAGGCTGAGCACCTAGCATGTGCTGGACTCAAAGGAGCGAGAGTAAATCAGTCTTGTCCTCTGTCTTACATTCCTGTGTGAGAAACAGACAATGACCACGTGATGCAAAAGTGCTGGGATCAGGCAAAGGCCCTAGAAGGGCTTCTGATCCAGCCTGAGGAGGTTTAGGGAAGCTGCCCCTTCCTGGGGAGGTGATGGCTAAGCCAGTCCTAAAGGTTGAGTTGCAGAGGATGGATGCTCTAGGAAAAGGAAGCAACACGTGCATGGAGACTTGAGAGAGTAATAGTGGGGAGAACTGCCCTGATGGGGGCAGCCAGAATGTGGGGGAACCATGACCAAGAGGAGTCTGGACTGGCAGGCAGGGGCCAGTTCAGGAGCAACCTCGTGTGTCAGCTAAGGAGTTTGGATTTGCTCCCAAAGGCCATGGGAGCCCCTGAAGGGTTGGGAGCAGGGCAGTGGCACCTAGTTTTATGTTAGAACAATTGGTCTGGCAGAGGGTGGAGAACCGGGGCTGTGGGATGGACAGCGTGGCCAATGGAGAAGCCAGGATGGATGAGTGGGGAGGGGCAGGCTGAAGGTAATGTCACAGGAGCTTGGCTCTCAATCTGGCAGCTGCCTTCCTAGTCCTCTCTGTTTCTCATCATCTTCCTTTGCTCTTTAGGTGCCACTGGCATTGGCAGGCCACCCTGGGGAGTGTCTGTGTCTCGTGGTCGTGTCTGACCACAGGCTTTATGTGCTGAAAGTGACAGGAGAGATCTGGTGAGTGAACGGGACCGTGGCCAGGAAAGGGTCAGGGTTCCCCCATGGGTCTCACTTCACACTTCTCTTTCCCGCCACTCTGCCCCTCCTCTCTCCGCAGCGGGCCTCCAGCTAGCTGGCTGCAGCCAACCCTGGCCATTCCCCTGCAGGATCTGAGCTGCATAGAGCTGGGCCTGGCAGGACAGAGCCTGCGGCTGGAGTGGGCAGCTGGAGCAGGCTGCTGTGTCCTGCTGCCCCGAGATGCCAAGCATTGCCGAGCCTTCCTAGAGGAACTCACTGGTGAGAGAGGGAAGGGAGAGGAAAGGAGAGGCAGGGAGGGCAGGCCGAGGGTCATAGGTCCACCCACAGCTGAGACACATGGGTAATGAAACTCCCCTCTCGGAAGAGTTCCTGGGATCTGGAAATACGGAGAAGGGGAAGGTGTTGAGAGGCAGTGAGGTTGGGATAGAGGAGATGGAGTCACGAGGGCTTCCTTTCTCTGGCTGGCACCGTCCAGATGTCTTGCAGTCTCTGCCCCCAGCCTGGAGGAGCAGTGTCAGTGCCACCGAGGAGGAGGTGACCCCAGACCACCGATTCTGGTGAGTCAGTGGGAGGGTGAGGCTGGGGGTGATCCAGCAGCTGCTCTTAGAGCGCAGGCCACCTGACCTCAGGCCCCCAGGCCTGGCTCTTCCTCCTTGTCTGCTCCTCCTGTGACTCCCCCTCCCCCCTCCAGCTAACCACTCTCTCCTGGGGCTGCCATCTTCCCCGCAGGCCACTACTGGAAGGAGACTCTTCCTCAGAGCCTTCCCGGTTCTTCTACCTTCAAGTGTTCCTGGTGGACGGTGAGGCTGCTCCCCATCTTCTCCCAGGCCTCCGTGCCCTGGTAGCAATTTTCAGTTCCTGGCATCTGGACTTCCTGTCACTCCTGGGCATACCCAGTAGCCCCCTCCATGTCCCCAGCCTCTCTGGGTGGGGCCGAGAGGTGCCCAGAAACCTTTGCTCTCGGGCCCATCACTGTGATGGGGAGCAGGTTGGCTGGGTCTGCTCTGCCTCATCCTGGGGGGGAGGAGGAGGGTAAGGGAGGAAGTGAGGAGGGGGGGGAGGCGAGAGTGGAGCCTCCTTTCTGAGTCGGGTGGGTGGTGGGCAGGCTTCCTTTGTCTTAGGCCTCAGAGGTTTTGGAGGCCAGAGGTCCCTGACGTTTGTTCCAGAGGCTTAGTTGCTTTGTGGCCATCTCAGTGGGGCTCGCCCTCTTCTCCCACGCCCTGGGCCTTGGCCACAGGGTCTGGGCTTCTCTGCAGCCTCGCACTCTTCTCTTACTGCAGGCCCCGCGACCTATCCTGTGTCCGTGCTGCTGACTCTGTCCACCTTGTACCTGTTAGATGAGGACCTTGTAGGGTCCCAGGCGGAAGCCCCTCTTCCAGCGGCATCTGGCGAAGCCTCTGAGAAGGCCCTGCCTTCGAGGCCCGGCCCCTCCTTGTGTGTCAGGGAGCAGCAGCCACTCAGCAGCTTGAGCTCGGTGCTGCTCTATCGCACGGCCCCGGAGGACCTGCGGCTGGTCTTCTACGATGAGGTGTGTGCGCACATGTGTATGTGAGTGTGTGAGAGAGAGTGGGGGGTGGGGCGTGCCGAGGTGGTTTGTGGTGTGGGAAATGGGTCTAGGAAGACTAGGAATGGGGGCAGTATGGGGAGAACAGAGAAGTAGGGTACAAGGACCTGGGAGGATCACTGGATTTGGACCAGAGCAGTGGGAGGAGGGTGGGCAGCTGAAGGCTGTGGAGACACCATGAACTTGGAGCCCAGCCTTGTGTTAGCTTGGGTGAAGCACCCAGCGGCGGCTGCTCCCTGGGGTTTGCATTTGATTGGGCCCTGCTGCCAGCCAGTTAAGCTTTACAACCTGCACGTGAGGAGGTCCCATCATTAGTCCCAATACTGCTGGGAAACTGCAGTTTTGGGATGTTAACCAGTTTGCCCAGGTCACAGGTGATAGAGCTAGGAACTGAACCCCAAGCGGTTCCTTGGAATTGACTCCAGAACTTCCATTCTATTGTAGAAAACAGGGAAGATAGTGGGGGCCTTCAGTAAGCATCGGTGGGGTTCTGTTTAAAAAGTCAGCATTGTTTATGGGGAGTGACACTGGCTTGGGGAAGGGCAGAGGCCAGGAGCAAGGGGGCAGCGGTCCTCCCTGAGACCTCCTGCCCCTTCTCTGGTGTGGTCCTCTGAGTCTCACTCGCCACTCTTGGTCTGCCAGGTGTCCCGGCTTGAGAGTTTCTGGGCACTCCGTGTCATGTGTCCAGAGCAGCTGACCCCCCTGCTAGCCTGGATCCGGGAGCCCTGGGAGCAGCTGTTTTCCATTGGCCTCCGAACTGTGACCCAAGAGACTCTGGACCTTGACCGGTGAAGCCTCCACTCGGGCCCCGCCCTGGCTGCAGGAGCCTGGCCACAGGTGTTCTCCAGGCTCTGGCTGTGGACTTCCCCAAGGTCTGGGCCCCAAATGACTCACGGCTCCAGGGAAGGGAGAGAGAAATGGTCAGGCCTCTGGATGACCTGGCCCGAGGGGACAGGCTAAGTGGCCATAGGAATGTTCCTTCTGCACTTTTTCTCAGGTGTCAGTAAAGCTATTTCCATTATGGAGGTCATGAGTGTATTTGGATGCGTCACTTGGGAGGCCTGTGGTTCTTCTACATCTTCTGACAGGAATTGCCGCGCCCAGTGAGGGGCCCAGGCAGCCTTGTTTTTCCTGTGAGACTCTGCCTCAGTCCTCCTCTGGCCTCATGATGGGATCAAGTGGGACTGCTGAACCATGGGCACCAGTCCTCAGCGCGCAGCGCCTGGTATGCGGCTCAGCCTGGAAATCACTGCCTAACAAATAGCTGGGCCAGTTAGATTCTCACTCCTGAAATGCATTTGGGAACTGGTGAGGACCTCCGGCCATTGGCGGTGGAGGCTGACATGAGAGGGTGACTGAAGAGAGGGTATGTGGAGTTGGGGTTGGCATCTGGTGGTTTCTGCTCCTGCCTTCTGTCAGCACTGCCTCACTCCGCGGGGGGCCAGGTGAGGTTGACCCCACTCCTTGACCTCTGTCTTCGTGGCCCCGGTGGTTGGTTCAGGAATGCTCATGTAGCCCGTTTGGCCTGCCAACACCCAGACCTTTGGGTGGAGCGATCAAGAAAGAAGCAAGTTTTCCCATGCGGGTTGCTGAGAGGATGAGCCTGCAGCCCCTGGCCTGAGGGAAGAGCTTTGCTGGAACTGGAACATTGCAGAGAAGAGCGAGCTGAGGGGGAGTGAGCAGGGACAAGTGCTGGTGGTGTCCTTGGAGCCCCCTGGCCCAACAGTGCCTGGAGGCAAGTAACCCTGGACTTTCAGGTGATGTGAGCTAAGGCAACGGCCGCCAACTGGTGGTCCATGGACCACTGGAGGTCTGTGAGGTCAGAAAGGTTGGTGACCGCTGAGCTAAGGGACACCTCTTCTCTTTTCTTTTTAGCTTAAGCTACTGAATAATTGGAGCAAATATGAGCCACTGAAAGGGTTCTAACTACATGAATCCCCATTCTGACTTGAGCTAGCCTAGCGGGATCTGCTTCTTGTCCCCAAGAATGAGCACTGCAGTAGTGGCACCCACATACTTATGTAGACAGGCCCTGCCCTGGTGAGGGCTGGGGAAGGTGTTTGGGGACTCAAGTCAAGCTGCCCTTGAGCCCCAAAGCTGGGCTCAGGCTGAGTGTGTGTGTGACACTGAGTCATGACGGATGGACCTCATCTGTGGAGCATTTACGTGCCAGGTGCTGAGCTAAGAGCTTGGCATTGTGCTCCTCACAGGGGTCCTGGGAAGTATGTGGCATCTTTTATATTTTTTTATTTTTTATTAATATATTTATTTCAGAGAGAAGGGAGAAGGAGAGAGAGATAGAAACATTAATGATGAGAGAGAATCACTGATCGGCTGCCTCCTGCACACCCTTACTGGGGATCGAGCCCGCAACCCAGGCATGTGCCCTTGGCCGGAATCAAACCTGGGACCCTTCAGTCCTTAGGCCGGCCAGGGCAGTGGGTGGCATCTTGTTACAGGCAAGGAAACAGAAGCTTAGAGGAGTTCAATGACTTGCTCTAGATCACACTAGTAAATGGAGGAGATCTGGTGAGTCTAGGCTTGTATGACTTCAAAGCCTGGGCTGTCAGCAGGCCACTGGGCAACACTCCCTCCTTTGCCCAGCCCCACTCTCAGACAGGGCTCATTGCCCACCTGCCCTGGGTTGGGGATCTCCTGAAGAATCCTAGACTTGTCTGGGACAGGCAGACCCAGATGTATATTTGGTTTTTCTTTCCCCCAGGGTGTGGTGAGGTGTTAGATGAATATTAATTCATGGGTGGTTCTCACCCCTCCTAGCCGAACTGGAGAGGATAAAGATGTCAGGTTTTAAGTGAAAGGGCTAAGCTACCCCGTTTCCCCGAAAATAAGACAGTGTCTTATATTAATTTTTTCTCCCAAAGTTGCGCTAGGTCTTATTTTCAGAGGATGTCTTATTTTTGGGGAAACACGGTATCAGAAGAGATTGAAAAGGGACCATAAATAGGTAAGAGCTCCAGAATGAGGAGGGGAGAATTTTTGAGAAGAGCATTAGAAGCAGTGGAGGAACAAGTCCCTTAACATTAGGGTGGGGGGCTCCCAGGATGGAGGGGCCCTGTGCCTCACTCCCTGCTTGGAATTAGGGGGATAGTGACCTGTCAGATGCTCCCTATGCCACCAAGGCAGCAGGAGATAGCAGTTTGGAAGGACCTGACAGGATAGGGCTGGTGACAGTTGTCCAGATATCTTTTGCCTGGAAAAGGGAGGTGTCCCAGAGAATCCTGTGGGCCCTGGAAGTCAGCTGACAGGGTGTTGGGGGATGGGATAGACCCAGCCCCCAAAAGGGGATGTGACCCAATTAGACATGAAGTGATTGAGTTTAAATCACAGGGCTCATTATAAGGGTACAGTTGAGTTGTAGAGAAAGAACATTTTTTCCTACCTGGGGGCTACTATTGTACATTCCTGGGATCCCATCTGTTGTTGGAAAAGTCAACACAGCTGAAACCAGTTTGGCTCAGTGGATAGAGCGTTGGCCTGCAGACTGAAAGGTCCCAGGTTCAATTCCGGTCAAGGGATGTACCTTGGTTTCAGGCACATCTCCAGTAGGGGGTGTGCAAGAGGCAGCTGATTGATGATTCTCTCTCATTGATGTTTCTAACTTTCTCTTCCTCTCTGTAAAAAAAATCAATAAAAAAATATATTAATAGAAAAGTCAACACTGACAGGTTTAGAAGGTATGGACCTAGGGGCAGGGGCAGGCAGGGTGTGGTTCTTTTGTAGTGGTCTTGAAGGTACTCTTCCCCCGTCCCCCCTACACACACCCACGGGCCTTCAACCTTTGGCAAGTCCAAGGGCCCCACCTTCTGGGTGGGTGGGGAAGGAGGGGTATGGTTGTAGTGGGCTGGAGCCCAGTTCCACCTGTGACCCAGCCAGCCCTATACAAACCCTAGGGCCCCAAAGGGTGGAATCCTGTGAGAAAGAAGCAATACACTGCAGACTGACCTTCAGCTTCAGGGCTTCTCATGGAGGGCAGGAAGTCCTTGGATTCCCAGGGAAAGGGCTGCTGGGCCTCAATGAGGAGAAGGCTGTGAGCCTGGTTAGGCCCACCCTTCCCAGCTGGGCCTTTCCTGACCCCCACTGTGGCCGGCATTGTTCCTGTTCTGAAACATGTGCATTACATACTCACTCACACACAATGAATGGGTGAGTTTATTTATACTTTCACTTGAAAGAGATTAGCAGGACACAGGTTCTACCGCAGAGCCTGTTAAAGCAGCTGTCAGGGCAGGAGGGGTTCCCAGTGGCTCATAAACTGCCTCCCTGAAGGCAGCTACCTCCTTGGCTAGGGCTGCAGGTGGGGGTGTGGGGTCAGTATTTAAAGCTCTCTTGGAAGATTTATGGAGGAATGCCTATACACAGTGATGAGGGTAACAATCTAACAGATTAGATTAGTGAGCCCTTACCACGTCCCATACATTCTTACCATGTCTCATACTCGTTTGATCACAAGATACAGAGCCCATTTGCTCAAGAAAAGAGCCGTCAGCAGAAACCAGTTTGGAGGCGTCCCAGGTTCAATTCCGGTTAAGGGCATGTACATTGGTTGTGGGCACATCCCTGGTGGGGGGTGTGCAGGAGGCAGCTGGTCAATGTTTCTCTCTCATTGTTTTTAACTCTATCCCTATCCCTTCCTCTCTGTAAAAATATCAATAAAATATATTTAAAAATAAACACAAACAACCCATTAGTGTTTAGACATGACCCAGACCTGGAGCTAGATGCTGAGGCCCCAGACCCAGGTTTCTCCTGTCCACTGGAGCCAGTGATTTCTCCCCCAGCAAGGCCCTGGTCTGGTCTGGTGGGAGAGTGGGAAGGAGATGGTATGAATCTTGGAACTGGCTAGTGGGAAGTGCTGGCTGGGGTGAGGTCCCTCAGTGACAAGCCTGCAGAAGGGTGGAGGGGCCCAGAGAGGACTGTGCACAGTCCTCTGAAAAGAAGTTCACCTACTTCTGTTTTGCTCAGAGCTGGCCTGAATTTCTTAATTGAAGCAAATTAAAACTTCCCAAAAATATTAGTCCACTTTCCCGGCAGCGTGCACACCCCCGCTTCCCCATCAGTGATTTTGCACCATCTGTGAACACGAGCCAGTGCAGGCCCCAAGGAAGCTTTGCCCAGGCTTAGACCCAGAGCTACCTTCTGTGAAGGTCGGGTCCATTTACAATCACTTCCCACAAGCCCCTTCAGTCCTGGTCCAGATGGGACAGAATGGTCGCCAATCTTTTTTTAGGGTGATTAGAAAAGTGGTGTGAGGCTGGGGCAGTTGAAAGAAGAGCTTCTTCCATTTCTTTGTGGTTAAGCTCTCTGAACATTTTTGTTTTCTTGAACGATTCACCAGCACCCTCTGCACCCTTTGTCCTGTGGGTGCTGTCATTGGTGACCCAGAAGACAGGTGCTGGTGTTGCCTGGTGCCTGTTACTCCTGAAAAGGGGGTGACCTTTAGCTCTGTGCCCCTCCGGAAGAAGATGCCTTCTCAGACCCTGGCGTGCTCTGAGCAGACGGGATTGCTTTGCCACTGACACTTGTAAACAGATGCCAATCAGCAGAACTTGCCTTCTGTACCCTGGACTGTCCCTGGAAATTGATTCGTCTGTTCAGACTGGCCTTGCCCTCCAACACGTGCTTATGGATTGCCTGCCTCTGCCTCAGGCTTGCTGGCAGTGGCAGTGGAGAAAAAGGATTCACGCCCTGAAACTCTACATAACTGCACGATGCTGTATTTTCTGTGGGGAAAAAAGGTGGGAGGGAAATACATATTCATGTTTGCTTCTGCTTGTATAAATAAGTTCTAGAGGGATAGATAGAAAGGGGAAATGGGGGGTGAATTCGAGAACAAGGGAGAAAGGGGGAATAAGTGATTTTGAGTTGTTTTTACATTTTACCTAAAGTGTTTTAAAACTCTCAATGTATTATGATTCAAAATTAGATTAAAAAATGTATATGAGACCCTCAGGGGTCAGTGGTCAAACTGAGCAGTATTAATGCTGCTTCCTAAGATTTTG